GATGCCGAAGAAACAAGCTACCAGAGGCCGAGGCCGTAGGCCGAGGCCGTGGCCGAGACAGATCGGCATGAAACAGATCGGATGAGACAGATCCATGAATTCGCCGTTGAAAATGTTACCATTTTCGCAGCGTCTTTGCCACGCGTGTACTGCGCGTGTACTACGTTTATGGAGATGTTACGACGCTTGTCTCACGACCTTCGCGACCCCACCGCGTTCTCACCGCGTTCCAGGTCAGATCGCGAACCTTGGCGTTTGTTTTGAACATGCTCAAAACAAACGCCGTGACTCGGCGATCATTGGCGACCATGGCGACCACACCACGATGTCTGGCGTTTCCACCACGCTTATGGCGACCTTGGCGCGCTCTGGGCCCATTTTCCGTCGCCGTAGCAGCGCAGTAAGGACGCCACCCCGGTGTGACGGGGGTATTACGTGCAGATGTCTGTTATATAAAGGTCTCATAGGCAAACATAGGTGTGGCTGTACTGTCACAATCGTCACCTGTGAAGGTGCCGCTACACACCACACCCAAATAACATTCAAACACTGCTGCCGCTACTCACCACTCTCCGATTTTAAATCCTTCCCGCGCCTTGATACGCATAGCGTATAGCTGCAGCCGCATAGGGCGGTGCCTATCTCCGTTTCTGTAACCCTGAGGCCCCGCAACTGCTTTCACAGTAAATGCTACAGTACGGGGTTAGTCCACTGTAGCACTGCGAGTTAACTTGCCACACACTATCTCTATTTGCTGAATGCTAAGCAGAGAAGCCGTGTGTACCATTTTTTAAGTCTTTGGTATGACCCGGCCAGGAGTTGAACCCCCGACCTTCCACATACGAGGCGAGCACTCAACCATTGAGCCATCGCAGTGGTGTACCACACTCCGATGCAGCAATTTAACCATAAAAAGTGAACGGAATCACTTACATTTCATGAAAAAGTGAACATAATTTTTTCTACTTTTTACTGTTTACGGTGATGTAATCACTTTAACTAGATCAAACGGATGTTACTACTACTGCATATCAGGGCAGGATTGCTGACCGAGCGTCGGAACACACAGCAGATGTACGTGCCTGCCAGATGATGACGAGCTGGCACAGTGCCCAAAATCTCATGTAAGTGCAGTTCGGATCAAGCCATCTAACGTGCGTCCAGCTAAATGCACAAGGAGATGGAAATTAATTCATCACATAGCACAGGGTTCATAGTAGTAAAACACATGTTGAAATAAGGACTTATAAGACCCTTTCTGAAGGCCAAAATAAGACTTTTTTACGTGATTTCTGATAGATCACCGACTATTAAAGTACACTAATAATATTTATATACACAATTGCAGAGCCGTTTAGCCGAAATTCAACACAGAAAATGTTGAAAAATGCCCCTTCGGCAAAAAATAAGGACTATTAAGTACTTTTCTAAGATTTCCCCAAAAGTAAGTACTAATAAGGGCCCTTATTTTATTTTTGGCAAAATAAGTACTTATAAGACTTTGGAAGACCCGCTACGAACCCTGTAGCACTACGTCATCATATCTGAAGCTGCCATCTGCATTTCAAAACATTCAACCTGGTCATCCCAAGAGGTCATTTTTCCCCCACGTTAAAAGGGCAACTCAATTCAATCTAGCACGGGTACTAGACATTTCTACTTGTCACTCAGTGATTTTTGTATAGAATATGACCTTTAAGACACATATGGAACCGTGATAAAATATAAGACTTGCCTCTCTGGGGTGAACTGTAACACGGCTCGCTTCAGTTTTCCTGTCGCCGAATGAATATCTCTGGAAAACAACGATTTTTACATGTAATTGTACTTAATCACCTATACATGACCTTTCAATTAAACTGATTAGACTTCCTGTTGCAAGCTAGCCAATAATCATATGCAAACGTTTTTTACTAGCTTGCTCGTTTCGTTAATTTAGCAAGACTAGAGCACAGGCACACTGCTCAAATGCTATCCATTTTTTCTTAGATTGTAAAAAAGTGGCACTTGCTTTATGCTTTCCCAAGAGAAAGTCCGTATTTCCAATTTCTTGCACACAAACATTCCAAGCCATATGCCAAGCCCATTACAGATGAGTACATCCAGGATAAGAGCATCCCACCAGCACTCCTTGAAGTTGGGCAGTAGGTGGGCAAAAAACATCTGCAATAATTAAGTATATGTAACGACGCAATCACCTACCATACATGTCACAAAAACGTCAAGATCCGCATGGTAACTTAGAAATCACAAAGATTTGCCAGTAAATTGCCGTGTGCCAACTGCACACGTGCATTTGTGTACGCTTACTTCAAGAAAAGGTTTTTGTGTGCGTGCATCACCAATAAAACCCACTATAGATGAGAATCATGTGATGTTACAGAACACATTGTGGTGGTGCGTGTGTGGCAAGGGGAGGTATCTAGGAAACCATTCCGGACAGACGAAATCAAACACATCTATATTCATACCCAGATAATTACCTCCGCCCAACGGAGTTGGAGGAGGTTATGTTTTCGCTCTCGTGTGTTTGTGTGGCTGTGTGTTTGTGTGTTCGCGTGATATTAGCGTGTCGAGTCGTATGGCGTATGTTGTTGGCGGTCGATCGATATCACCCAGCGAGCCAGCGAGTCAGCAAGCCAGCTCGTAACACAAACATGTTACATGGGAGCGTGTACATGTCAGTACGCTGGCGTATATCATGGGTTATTCGTGTGTTCGTGAGTCGTATGGCGTATGTCGCTGGTGGAGGTATGCACTCCGTGAGTGCACTCTGTCTAGTTAAGGATACTCTCAACCTTTTGCACGGGTCATGAGCTCCATACATTGAAAGAGTTAAAGGTCATACATGTCGAGACCCCATCACGGTGATTATTGCTCAAACTAATCTTTAACACGCAAGCTAGCAGTAACCTGGCACCTTGTGTAGATTAAATAGTACATTTACCTCTAACTACCTAAACGCGATGTTATTAGTTTGTCAGACCCAATTATTCACTGCTGTGCCTAACTAAAGAAGAAAGGATGTTTAACTTGCAAATCCCGCAGCGACCCAACGAAATCGGTTTGTCTGACAGTTTACAAAACCCCATCGCCGGGGCCGTAACCGGGCCGTAACTGGCGAGGCGGTGTCCATAAACAGATTATAGTGGCACCGGACACTTTTCTGCACGTCAGCTCGGCCGCTCAGTGATTTCGATCTTGTAGTCTGAGTGCGCATTTCCGTACGTTATCGGTTTTACTTCTTGGGATTCGGCGAATGAAATGAAATATACCGTTCTTGAGATTACAAGCAGAACATATAAATATGTGCAACTAGGGCAAAATAAATAAAACACTAGGCAAACAAATTTACCCGGGCGTACAAACAATTCGATCTCTCAACAACTCGAACTGTCACCGCAACAATGCTGAATCAGTCTGACCCCCCGAACCCCCTAACTCGATGTTTATTTTGTTGGCCATAAATTTCGGCGGTTGTCGGGCCAGATTACCAAAATTTTATCCAAGTATTTCAATTACGACATTTCTTAAAGTATATCCTACATGATATTGGACGCAAAAAACATAATTACCGCGTTTGTTGAGTATGGCTATAAGGTCAATGTACTTAGTTAATCTACACCTAAAGTTGACCAGTTACTGAGCATTTCGTCAACTTTGCATAATGCTGAGTAACATTGGTAATCGAGAAATTATTGCAATTTTAAATCAGGTTTATTACATGAATAGAATTGGTAGAAATCTAAATTGCACGAATGCGTTGCGTGCCCCAACAAACTTGGAATCTTGCACCAAACTTCACGTTTTTTAGTTAATTTGTAATCATTGTACGAAGAGATATGAGCTCTCTATGGCAAGCCAAAAAACATTCATGAAATTTCCAGCACCTAAATTATGTTACCACACAAATTTGGAAATTTTGTAAAAATGGTATTTTGGATATTTCTCAATTACCACAAAGAGTGAGGAAGCAAAATTTTCGCCACAGGTTAAGCACAATATGTACCAAAATAGCGCATCAGGATTTTTCTTTAAGTTTCATATTTACTGAGAAAAATGAAAAAAACTGCTTAAAAATCAAGTTGCGTGTTAGAATTGAAAATTTTAGCGAATAAAGAGGCATAACTAATAAAATACGGCACTTAATAACAATCCCTGACGCGCTTTTTTACAGCAATATTTTACCATTAAAACGAGTGTAAAATTAAATTAATCAGAGTTGTAATCACAGAGAAATATCCATTTATACATCGGCTACTATGTCAGAAATCGAAACGGAGAAATCAGCGTTTTTCTATTTTTCACAATGATCGACCGTCTGTGTGCAAAATGGGTGAACGTATGTGAAACATCTACTGTTAGTACTTACTGTGACATATCCATGACTAACTGACACCACTAAATTGGTAATATGTTCCATGCACCTTGAGAAATTGTGAGAAATTACGAGGTTACCACCGCTCTTTCAGCTCTTTCATGCAAAATGCACGTACGATGTGTACAGCATGCCGTTACTAAGCTATGTGTCAACAAACACACGCCTAAATGCAAGGTGTGTAACAAGGGAAATGGGGCTATTTTCGGTCACGCTGCAATTTCAACTATCACTGGCAGATGACAGCTGTAGGAGGGTTGATGCTGAATGATACTGGTGTAGTGAATATCATGAAAATTATGGTTGTATCATGTCTCTGACATCATCAGTGAAGTCAGCTGCTGCTCACTACACGTGTACGCGGGCAATCAAAACGCTCTAAAAATTCACATGTACAGTTATATGGAGAAATGAGCATATACAGAGGTGGCACATAAGTGTTAGACATCAAAATAAAATTGAAAAAAAAAATTCGGTAAAATTTTGCCTAAAACCTTGAGAGTATCCTTAACAAAACACTATAACGTGATGGTCAATGCTACAATACCTCGGTGAACTCCCACATGAAACTGATGGTACACTCGCGGATAGCTAACAAAGCACTATAACACAACAGCTAATGCTACGATACCTCGGTGAACTCCCACATGAAACTGATGGTCCAGCAGATGCCAGCATGTCGGATGAGCAAGGCCTTGAGGGCCCAGCCCCAGAAGTGACCGAATGCGAAGACATCGACGTGGCTCCACACTCGCTCGAAGGTGACGTCGGAACAGTTGACCGCATAATCCTGTAACGTTAGTGGAACTCATGAATCAGCTTGTGATGCAACAAGACACTCGATCCAATCTCAGTCATCAAGCAGACAGAAAACGATCGAACGATATACTGCCAGACCATCTGGTTTGACACATGCACGCGTCGGTGTGACTGCCCCAAAAAATGTTGCTATATATAGATATATATACCAATTCTTTTCAGAAAATGGCCTCACAGAAATACCACACTTTGGTGCATATTACCCACATATGTATGTATATATATATATATATATATAAGAATACTTTGATAACAACCTTTTCAGTATCAATTCTAAAGTGCCGTAAGTCCGGGAACAACCACCACATCATGTTCCGCACGTCAGATAGGTTCTGGAACAGGATGAACTGCAGGAGCAACAGATACAGGACACTGATACCTGACAAAAAAAGAAACACAATCAGTCAGGTGTCGATCACTATAGACCCATGGTTTTATGTATACAGTTACACATGTAAATACCGGTCAGTGAATGGATACTCCTACGTGTCCTTTTAGACAGGTTTTTTTTTATAGTTCTATACAGATGGTGCATTATATATATAACCCCCACTCAAGGGAATCAGTAAGTATCCTTTATAGATGGATGTCCATGCCATAGTGGTGTCCACGTAATTGTGTGATGTGCTACAAACCTGAATTAATGCATTAACTCAGGTTTGGTAGCACATCACACAATTACTTAGCAACACCTGCACTTGACATAACACACTGAAACATTTGTAAATATTTTGGAAAATCATATAAAATCCTCAAGAATTAAGATGAGCTGGGTAACTCCAAGAGCGTATAAAGAAGGAGAGCGTACAAGGGTAAAATGCTGAAACCATGCTGCAGTATTAGTCGAATTAATAAACTTTTCCCGTTTTATTTTGACGATCCTTTGCAGTATTATTGATTAGCTGTCTTACCTTGTTCATATAAAACAAACCGCATGTCCCTACCAGGGTTGAAAATACTTTTCTAACATCGGTGATCCTGCAGGATCACCGATGTTA